CGTTTGAATTTTCGGCTTATGAAGAAGAGAGTTTATTTCACCCAAACCATTACCGAATTTTAAAAATTTTTCTTTCAGCAAATGTTATTTACCGTTTTGTGTGTATATCAATGTCCGCAACTGTATTTATAAAAACATACATAATCAAACGTCAAATATTTCAAAATGTGAACGTCAAACATATCTCGTTGTGGCAACGGAGACGGTTAAGATTTAGCAACTAGATTTATTAAATCTTAATACGTAGATCTTTTAATGGAGACATAGTATTAGTAGTCGTTAACTGCAATTCTCAAGCACGCTTTTAGCGAATATTGTCGGCAGCTTTGACAGTTGTCGAACGAAATTTGTCGATAACCTAGCTACGAATATTTTGTCGTTTAAAAGCCTGCGGATAAAATTGTTTTAAGTTTTTATTGAGAAAAATTAGGCCAAATTCATCGATAAGCAAACTATTATAATAAAAAATAACTAATAAATAAAAATTTATCACATATAGATGTGCTTTTTATTATTGTTTCTTTTATTTATTACACTGTGCAAGTTGAAACCATTATCAAAGGTTTTAAAAGTTGATCTCACTTAATTGGGGCATTGGGTCTGATTAGCTCCAGTTTTCGAGATAACGATACTTGAACATTTGCTTCAATTTTAACTTGTTTGTAAATAAATCAGTTTTAGTGTTGTTTCAATAAAATGTTTAACATGACTATTTTAGTGAAGGTTATATTAAAAAATAGTCATGTGAAAAAGTTTGGTAAAATGACTTTAACGGACTTTGTTGGAGTTATTTATAAAAAAAAACTTTAAATTTAAGGAAATTATCAAGTACCCTTACGTCGAAAACTAGAGCCAAAGCTGAATTTTTAGACGTGGAAAGCATAATGTCAAAATGATGTGTTTGTTGTAATTCATACTGTAATTGTGCGTATAATTTGTAATTTTTTACTTATATACCGCTTATACCCCCTTATTAAATTCGCCTTGCACGAGGCCGTTATTGCCAAATAAGCAGTTCAGCATCCTATGGTACTGCTCCGTAGTAGCTCCTGCTCTTCTTTTTTTCATATTGTATTCACAAACAACAATCCCGACACAATAATACGCGCAACAATAACAAGTTTCTTTTAAATATTGAGTATCAAACGTCAATATTGCCACATTTGGCTTTGTAATTAACGACAATCGTCGTAAACTTCTTTATCGACATGTCTAACGAATTCTGTCGTTAAGTGTGTTTTTGGGAATAGCCTATTCGCTACTGCAAGCTACAAACGTCGTTCATTATCAATAACGAATATCGGTCGTTAAGAAAAATGGGAATCGCACTACAGGAGCGGGAAAGCAATGGTTAATCAAGCCGGACCCAGTAAGAACCCTATCTGTTAACTAATGCGTTATATACGCCTAGTACTACAAAAAGTTTGTGTGAGATATTCAAAAACTTTCCATTATTTTACATAGGGCTCCTGGAGAAATCTAACGCATAATCGTTTCACGTGTGAGCTGTTTTCTCTTTCTTTTACATGGAATTCGCTATTATATTATCCTATATGTAATTGTCTCTTTTCAATCAAATATTATTATGCGATTAATAACGTGTTATATAATGCAAAGAATGGCATATGGATATCGCTAATATGCAAATGTGTTGGTTTTTATTGAAAATTTTTTAAGAGTATTGGAGAATGCGTTAGGTCGTTCTTGCTGGGGATTTGAATTTACATGATTCAATAACACAAGGTTGGATAACCTGGCAGTTGTCTCGCTCCCGCATTCTGCCTTAGCCTGTGTTGCTTTCTTTTTTGATTTATAGAAACTACTACTAAAAGACAAGGAGAAATATTGTCTTCGTATAAAAAGTTCAACAGGCAACACTGCCGTTAGTAGATTGTTTCGAGGAAATTGATTTTCTTATTGCGCAAATTCAAGTAAGCATGCCAAAAAAATCAAAAATAATGGAGCTATTTTGAATTGAAGAAATAATTTACATATTTCTTTGCAGAGTATCGGAGTTATTCAAAAACCTGCGTTTTACAGCAAGTGCAGCCGTTACCAATAAGTTTTGCGTGCTAGGATCTCTGTGTGTCCGTCCACGTTTGGCTGGTGCAGTCCACTGGGAATTACTGCTGCACCGATTTATTTGGTGAAGTGCAGCCATTACATACTTACAAGTAAGTATACCACCTCATAAAAGTGAAAGTGTAAATATCAATAAAGCTTTTATCTTGTGCAGGTCAGGATCACTTTGTGTGTCCGTCCACCAAATGTAAATCAATTTAAGATATTGAACATGTAATTTTTAAATGCAACAAATATAATAATTTTTTAAAAAGATTAATTTATATACATTGTATTAATTGAATCTTTACTAGTTGTATATTTCTTCATATTGCACACCGTCTTCAAAAGAGTCACAACTCAAAACAATACGTTTGTCAGAAAATGCGAAAAACTATTTCTTAGCACATGATAATCATATGGGCTAGGACGACTTTACCTTAGGTCTTTTTTACAAATTATAACAAAAATTTTATCCAGCTTTTGCTGAAAGGTAAATAAAAGCCCTGTGTACACTTTTAGCGCATAATCTCAAAAATGCCAAATTTAGAGTTGTGACTCTTTTGAAGACGGTGTGCAATATAGTCCCTTTGAATAAAGGATTTGTTTGAATTCCATTAATTTTATTTAATATATACTGGAGTTTTAATAAAACCATAGTTTATTTTGAATATTTGGGAATATTTGTCGGTAAGATTTTTCTTTCATTTTCATTTATTGCATTTTTAATATCTATATAGCATGTTTAATACACCATAAAAAAATTAATTCATTGTCTATTGTGTAGATCAATGGAATCTGCTTTAATATTTTAATTCAATATAATATACAAAAAACGCATTTTAGCACTACCAGACTACTTTTCCCACTACGTCTACGATTTGCAGGTTTTGCAGGACTTAGTCCAAAGTCGTTCCCGTACGCCAAAAATTCTGTATCTAGGAACACTTTAGTGCGAGTAACTGAGCAACTGTTCCCAGAATGATGTTTCAAGATTTAGTCCGGAGTTTTTCTTCTGGCAAATCATGAAAAGTGTCAAACGATAGGTAGAGTTGCATTTGTGTACAAAAACAGAATGCGGTGAAAGCAAATAACCTTACATTTGTTAAAAAATGGAAGTAAATAATGAAATATTCGAATATATATGCAATTATTATTAATTATATAGATTTTAAGTTATTTAGTGATCTTTCAGCCAAATCAGTCTTGTAATAATGACAAGTAAACAAACCAAATGACGTGTTTGCCGGAAAAAGTGCTTTTTGCGCTCCCGTACACTTCTGCATCTGTTCTCCTGTTACTCTCACTAGAGAGAGTAAAATTGTAGTTTGACATGTCCACAGGTTTTAGTCCGAAGTACTGGAACAAACTAAATATTTATCCAACCTTGTATTATTGAATCATGATCAGAGGTGGGCACTACCAAAACCAAGCGATAGCTAAAAGTGAGAATGTGTTAGTGTGCCTAATTCCCCAGTAGAAATCGGTTGTATGCATTCTTGAAGGATGCTTGCTATATGAGTAAATTAGTGTGAACAATTCATTCGTAGTCATGAATTTCCACGAATAAATTCAAATTCTAGCGAATTGCAAGCGAATGTACGTTGTCGTTGTTTTAAGTACATTTCTTGATTAATTTGAAGTGGAATTTTTGTAATATTTTCAGTCTTGTACAAAAATTTTAGTGAACGGACGTGTTGTGCGATACTATTTTCATCACAAACGAGCTTTTACAAGATATGCATTTGCATATGTAAGTGCTACTTGTTTGTATATCCCCGTATATTAAAATGTATCAGAAAAGTAGCATTTACATATGGGGATCTTGTAAGAATGCTTTAATACTGTTCCATTAATGCATTTTTGTATGTTTGAAACATTAATACAGCCATATGCATACAGCAGTAATACAAGTGTATGATTAAGGTACGCATACGCTCTGAGAAACCACATGTGTTAAATGGAAATGAAGGTTCATTTATACTGGCATGTATACGCAGCAGCAAGCTCATGCCACCAACAGCGATGTTGTATGCTTAAGATTTCTACTGGGTCATTTTGCATGCTGTCGCGTTCTCATCGTTACGCTCTTGCTTGTATACGTACACATGATGATTACGCTCTTTGACCATGTGCTCGTTCTCTGCCCATGCCTGATCATGATTTAAACCAGTGCCCGCCAAAAAGAGCAAAGTCTTAAAATGAGAATGCATTAGCTATGAAACAAAAAATGAGAATGTGTTGGTGGTAATGCACGGAAAAAAATTTCTGTGTTGTATTACTTATTATAAAAACTTTGGTATGTTTTTTTGCCGTTTAGATCTGAACAACATAGAAACATATAATGAAAGTTAACGGCGCTAAGAAAGAAGAAAGTTGGTAAAATTTTGTATGTATTGTACAAAATTATTATTTTTTTATAATTTAAGTGTGGATTTCTGAGCAAAAAATATAACGTGCTTCGAGCTCTCTGAACATTAAAAGAAAGTTTCGTTGATTTCAAGTAGAAATAAAATAAAAATATATATATCTAATATATATTTATTTTAAAATTAGGTAAAACTTGACATTTAAGAACAATTTAAAATAACGATTAAACCAAAAGATAAATAACAAAACATATTGTATGTTTTAATTGAGGAGTAGTCTGGTATTAAAAAAAATACATAATTCACAAAGTTCTTTTAATATGAAGAAAAGCACGACTTGGTACCATATTTATTAGAGCTCTTGATATTCGATTAATCGAATATTCGAATTATTCGAATATGATACTATTCGAATAGTGAAATTCGATTAGCAGTATTCGAATAATCGCTCACTGTCGATTATTCGAATAACCTGCTCGTAGTCAATTATTCGAATAATAACTGGTGCTCGATTATTCGAATGTTGAAATGTGTGTAGGAATAAGTATGTACACATTTAAATAAATTGAAATGTAGGAACATAAGTTTGTTTTGAGACAATTTTGTAATTATTCAGCAACAATATAAATGAACAGGTTAAAAAATCACATAAAATGCATTTTACCTTCTAAGAGGAATAATTAAGTTATTAAAATGGACACATATCTGTGAAGAAACGCTTATTATTATACAGGAATGTAAGAAGGCTAACATTTTGCGGTGACAAACAACTTCTACGTGGCGTGACAATATTCCCAGCAATTGAAAAAGTGCGTTCGGACTCTGCCGATGTAGCTGGTATGCACAAATATCTTGCGGTTAATTTGAAAAGTTCCGGATAAATAGCACGGTGATTTTTCCACCATGTTAGGGGATGAATGTTGTGGCCGATCTGAGGTTCAGCCAAATAAGAGTCGATTTGTGACATAAAATTATTTGTTGGGATTTCACCATCAAACAAAAAATCCAAGTCGGTATGTACTACGCTGTCTGTTTCTTGGTTAATGACATTGCTTACTTGAAGTTGGCTTCTGATAAAGTCATAAACCTTGTGTTTTGTTTGCGAATCTTCATCATTAAGGTTCTTATATCTGGGGTCTAAAAATTAGGAAATTATTGGAGCTGAAACTTTTTCTAAAACACAACCCATATTGAACCTTTCAAAAAGGGAATTATGTGCAGTTTCTTTGAATATATATTTATTTGCATCGTCTTCCGACGATGCGGCCATGTGGTTTTTAATAAGACGGTGTATTAAAGGTCGCACTAAAGACAATGTCACATTTTTGCCACCACATAGCACTGCAGTCGCTTTATCAAAAGGTTTCAAAATGTCAACCAAGTTCTGCATTTCACCCCACTCCTTCTCTTGCATTTCTAGCCTCAGCGCATCGCAAGTTTTTGTAACGGTTTTATCTGATAAAACTAGGCAGATTGCATTTCGATTCAAAAGCAGCCTCTCACACATGTAATATTTGGAGTTCCAACGTGTTTCGCAGCATTGTATGAGTCGATTTTCCTTTATCCCCAACTGTACTTGGCGGTTTACTAGTGCAGTTATGGCAATATTTGAGCGATGAAAATGTGCTGTTAAATTTCGTCCTTTTTTGCAAATTTTATCGTAATCAGGTACAGCTGCTAATGCGTCACAAGCTGCAAAAGGTGAGCGCTGCACTTGATGCTGTCCCCTATATTAAAAAGTTGTTGCGCTGCTGCATTCATGACTGATGCACTGTCGTGCGTTATCGCTTGCGTTTTGTCGGAAATGTTCCAATCGGCTAAAACTACTTCTATTGCGGATGCAATGTTTTCAGCATTTGGTCGGTCTATAAATACAAATTATTTAAACAATTGACATGTCTTAAAATTAAAACACAAATTATGCATGTATGTATGAGTGTATGTGTTTATTTTATATATCTACATACAAGGTAGTTATTTTAATAGATTTACCTTCTAGTTGCTCGTTACAAAGTGTAACTTTGCACAATTCACTATTTTTGTCAATATACTGGGCTTCGACTGATAAATAACAATCTTGAGTTCTTGATGTCCATTCGTCCACTGAAATTGATGCGCTTTCTACCTCCGCCAAATCGTTTGCAATTTTTTCTCTTACGTCATTATAAAACAATTGTAAGCGTGAGAGTATACTTTGTTGAGAGGGAACTTTGTATCCTGGTTCCAATAACTTCATAAAGTCGCGAAAGCCTTCAGAGGAAAGGAAGGAGATTGGTAACATGTTACTTGCGATTAGGCGTGCCACTCCACGAGATATCAATTCCTGACGTTCAAATGTGCAGTCATGAACGGTGTCGTGCTTTTTTCTCTTACGGCCACCCGAGGTGCTCGCCTGCGTTTCAACGCATTCACCACTTGTTGCATCGATATTCGTGTCCGGTGTTCTACATATGTGTAACAAGCTTGTGCTCTATATTTTACTTATAACTTATATTTTTCTTTATTTGTACTTACATGCCACCACCACGAATCGGTTCCTTCTTATGGACTTGTTTCAAGTGAGTGCTTAGCGAGGAAGTGGAGTAGTGGAAACTAAGGACTGCTCCACAAATGGAGCAAGTAACTTGCTTACCATCACTGCACTTCGTAAAAAAACTCCACACCCAACTTTGTTTTCTTGCACTCATGTTCACAAAAACACACAAAATTTATAAATTCTTTTTTTTTTTTTTGACAAATAACACTTATTACAACGATCGAATATTCGATTTTAAGAAGTTATTCGAATAATCGTAGCTTTGCGACTATTCGAATAATCGAAGAGAATCAACTATTCGAATAGTAACATTCGATTTCCAATCGTACAAACAATTGCCATTCGAACGTTCGAATATTCGAATAATCGAATTATTCGAACAATTTCAAGAGCTCTAATATTTATACCTATTTTTAGGGGTGTATGTACGAAAAATTGTGTTATAAAATTTTTGAATGAATATTTATTCATTCTGCTCAGTGTACCTACTTTATTCAACAATAAAGCCCTGTATGCAGCTCTCAAGAAAACGGTCAAGAAAAAATTGCCATTATTTCGCGTGTGTGTCCAAGGAATTTTGACATTTTTGATACCTCACAGCCTGTCGCCTCACTCTTTCTTCAAGAAATAATGGAACGGGCACATATTTCTGTTGCAAACCTGGGTTGCCTTGTGCTCTTTTTTTCACAAAAAACTTTAGAAAACCGTAGTAGAAAGCGTAGGAAATTTCTTAAGAACTGCGTACTGCCTTAAGGAAATTTGGCTCAAGTAAATTTCTTAGCCATTTCTTGTACGTCATTTTATATGGAGTTTTTGCTTTTCTTGAGAGCTGCATACAGGCCTTAATGCGTCATCAACCTGCTTCGCCTATTGTTTGCATGCAACTAAATAAAATTTGTTGCTCTTCTACTCTTTCTTTTGACGTTCGGATAGTGTACGTGTAAGAAACCGATTGTGTACATGTGAAAGGCCAATATAGTTCGTTTCCCAGGAAAGTGTTTGGCGGGCACTGATTTAAACCCAGTAACTTATTACAATTATTTACGAACGCACTTTGAACACCGAGTCACTCAAGTGGTGAATTTTTCCTTCTTTGTAGTTAGATACTTTGTATGTAGGTGTGTACCAGCGTTGCCGCTTTGAAAATTTTTTACCAAAATTGGCATTTTTTTTTTTATTTATATTTGGTAATTTGGTAACATAATTCTCAATTTGGCAACTTTTTCCATTCGGTCCTACACGTAATATAGGTCAAAAGAATTTCTGATTTTACATTACGAAGTGAGTCGTAAGCGTTTCCTTTTATAGATATATCTGCCAAGTAATCCGGAAAGTTTCGCAAGTCTAAAAGTTCTTCGGCGTTCCTTGGTTACTAGGGTTGTGTGATCTCTAACAAACTGCTTGAAAGTGGCTATTGTCATATCTACCTTGTCCTTTTCCAGACGGTAGTGGATGGTCGTACTTTTCCTTATCAGTTCGTCAGCTTTGCAATTGCCATCAATATTTCGGTGTAACTCGGCAACCATATGAGTAGAATTCTATGTAAATGGTTATGTTCGTTCAAAAAATTCCGGAATTCAGTACGCAACCTAACTTTGGCATAAGTGCAGAATACGGCCCGTTAAGCTAGAAAAAAAACGAAAAGTGGCCGTGGTCCGCCCTTTTTTTCTGATTCTAATGTTATACAAAATGTTTTGGGGTGGTAAACTTATGTTGCAGGTGCTATGGAGTGGCAAAGGGGTAATTTTCGAAAAACGGGACTTATTCTGCACTTGTTCCCTTAACTTTATGTGTGAGTCGAAAGCTTTCACGACTGCAGTGAATTTTGCGATATTTTCGACTTGTTAACATATGTTTGTATGTTTATTGGTCATAACTGGAGAAATGTTGATTTTAAAGTGCTGCAAAATTTTAGGTTTACGGCCTCATGAAAAAGTGGCATGGTGCCAAGTCGTAGGATCTCAGTGGTATTCCCTCTACGGAACATTATGCGCCTAATAGCGTGTGGCTTTGTGGCCTGAGCTTTTTTCACGGATGGGGATGTACAGCGTGGCGACGATTAACTGTTACCCAGTTTTTTTTTTGAGAAATAAAAGGGTAATCTATAGTTTTTGCGAAAACAGTATTTTATTATTAATGTTCCACAGATTTTACTTTGGTTGTATTAATTACTTATTAAATTTTAATCCTTATTTACAATTGCCGCCAGTGTAAACTTTGAGAGAAAAGTTCATTTGGCACGCAGGCCTTCATCAGTTAAATTATTCCATATCTTCTGTAACCATAGGCAAATTTTTTCCGTTTTGAGTCCCTTATACTTCCCATTTTGTTCAACATAAGGTCTCATACTCAAAAATCGAATAGACTCAGAACTGGTGACTAGGACGGGCATTCATTCGACCAACCTTATAGTTTTTTTCTTTTTTGTATTTTTTTATACAAAGCCTAAGAAAAAATACACCTGAAAAAGACTTGCGTGCCAAATGAACTTTTCTCTCAAAGTTTAAACTGCTGGCAAATGTAAATAGGGATAAACATGTAATAACTAATTAATACAACTAAAGTAAAATCTGTGGAAAATTAACAATAAAATACTTTTTTTTTGCAAAATCTCTAAAGGAGCCTTTTAGTTCTCAAAAAAGACCGGGGTAACAGTTATTCGTAGCCACGCTTTATATCCAACTGCAAAGCATACCATTACGAGCCATAATACAGTACCATGTTCTTAAAACAATGCGAAGTCGACAAATTTATTTCTTCGGCCATACTCAGGTTTGAAATCCCCACCAAGCTTTTATGTTGCTGGTTGCATGAAAAGCTTGGTATCTTTGGATATATGCACATAGGCTGCATTTCTTTATTCATTCTGAACGTTTGGAATAAACTTTTTTGTTTATTTATTCTTTAGAACGTTCCTGATGATATGTTGACGTATATTTCAAACGCATTCTGTTTATTCCGGCTGTGAAGTGGGATTATCCGGAATGCATAAAGAAACGCAGCCATAAATTAAGTTTGGTAAAATCTTGTTGAATTTGGTCATTTTTTTTCTGGTGATTTTGGAGAAAAATCAGAAAAAGTTGTGGCAACACTGGTGTGTATGGGTACATTTATAAATTAACCTAGGTATATGTTTACATTCCAAACACTAACAAATGCTGATTATCAACAAGCATTACTAAGAAATACAACATACTTACAGTGGTTTAATTAGCAGATTTTTTGAGACCTACTATCAATTATAATTATACAATTAATATGGCTTCGGCTCGTATACAACACGTACTTCTCACTGCACCTACAACGTATGTTAATACAGCAGAATTGTATACAAAACTATGAATTCAGCCGGCTTCCTTTGAGTAAAAGGGACAGCACATATTTTTCTCATTGTACTGGCCGTGTTCACCTGCTTGCAGAAGAAAGTTATGCGAGCTACACATTGTCCATCAAGTTTGTCAGTCAATAATGTATCAGTTTTGAGGAGCGGTCAAACTATCAGGCATGTATGTTGGATTTGGTTCAAGTTGTTCAATTTCTTTATGCTAAAGTATATAAATATCACAAAAATATGACAAATCCATAATACAACAAGTAATTTTTAAGCAAAAAACAAAAACGACTTCAAATCTCATATAAAAATTTAATATTATCGTTAATTTCTTCACGAATTATCGGTACCCTTGAGGTACCACCTTTCCGATGAAATAAGAATTATCGAAATCGGTTAACGTCGTCCAAAGTTATGCGGTAACATACACAAAAAAAATACATTCAACAATTTGTATTGAGCTTGAGGCCGTTTTTAATGAAAAGCCAGTTGCCTACGCACTGTGCTAAGTCCGCCTTAATACTTGTTGCTTTTTTCCACTTTTTCATTTGTTAAGCCAACTACATACAAGCGCAGCTATTCCAGAACTATTTAAACTTGATCATGTGGTTGTTGGTTTTGTTGATTTTTGTTAATAATTCTATTTTTAAAATGTTTAACTTTTAGGTGTGCTCGTCCTTAAAGTTCTGAACACATTGAAAACGACGACCTACGACCACAGCTTCCAATTTGCCATCTTCATTATCCAAACGCTTTGTCGATGGCGACATGATTTCGTTGAACGCGGCAGCGACTTCATGAATTTGTATGAGTTTGACATAAAAGAAGAGGAAGAACCTTATCTGTCGCCAGAAAAATAGAAATAGATCTAATCTGGCTACAACTACAGCCGTCGCGTAGCCCGGTCGTCGCCAAAATAATTATCTACATAAGAGTAGTAATTTGACAGCTGTGGTTGTAGCTTGTCGTATTCATTGTGTTCGGGCTATAAGTTATTTGTTTTTGTTATTTATGGCCATGAACGAAAGACACAAGATCACGTAAGAACAAGAGAGTGAAAAAGTCGATTTTTTTAGCGGGTTCAACGCCATCTTGTTTCACTGGAAAACGAGCGAAAAGTAAACAAAGCAAAGAAAACAACGAAAACCAAAATTAGCCAAAATTATTGTCAGCCACTTTAAGCGCACAATTTAGGTAAAATGATGCAATAAAATGCTTGAAAATTTGTTGTCATGTTGAATTAACTCTTCTTTACTTAAATAAAAGTGTAAAATAGTGGTGCTTGTGATGTAAACAAATGCTCAGCTGACGAACCCGCTTTCGCAAACTTTTTTCTCAAAACCAGTTACAAATACAACGTCGCGTTCTTACGTGATCTTGTATTTTTGGTTCATGATTTATGGCTCGACCATCGATAGTTTTCCAGCTCTAGCCCCAAACTGATCCATGAACCAAGAATGATAGAATACAAGATTGCGCCGTCCTGGGCGTTGACATTTGTGTACCACAAGTAAACAAAGAATAGAGCGAAAAGAAGAACGAGTTGAAACTGCCAAAGCAGTTCACTTTACAGCGAAAAACGTGTTTTAATTTTGCTAAATGCGAAAATATTGCATTTTTCACCTAATCTATTAGAGAACAGTGAACATTTTAGATGCACTCCATTGCTTTGCAATTGAGGCTGCTTCGGCAAACGTTTTAATGCACTCAATTGCTTTGCAATTAAGGCTGTATCAGAAACTCCTTGATACATTCATACGGCCACTCGTTGGCCGCTCCAAAAAATCCAACCGCTATCCAATCAACAATGATAATTTGTTGCACAGAGGACTCGTCTGTCCGAGTCGATCTTTATTTTTATAATAATAATAAGCAAATTATAATTTTAATCTTATGCCTGCCAATGTGCAGCGCTACGAAACAGAGAAACGACAGAACCACAAAAAACTAAAGAAACAAGTGATGCCACTGAATACGAAAAATATATACATGTAATTAAATCAGTGATGGGACATGATGGCTTATACATCCTGCCCGGCTAAACCGTCACGGTTCAGGATCTCTTCGTTGGGACCAGTTAGCCGGCAAAGCTTTTGAACCGGTCGCTGACATCGATGCTTTACATAGAGACCTTCGTCTGTCCTCTTATCGCTGTTGTACTCGACGGTTACGACGCGCACTAGGCCATCGTCGCCAGGATGTACATCGATGACTCGTGCCATACGACAGTGAGCTGGTGGAAGATTCTCGTTGAGGATAAGTACTACGTCGCCGCGTTGAAGATTGGGATGAGGACGTACCCATTTACCACGTGCCTGAAGCGAAGTAAGGTAGTTTTGCTGCCATCGCTTCCAAAAATGTTCATACATGCGCTGCAGCCGCTGCCAATACTTGAGACTATTCTCAGGAACATCAGGCACTGCAGGCTCGGGGCGAGAAACAAGCGGTCGTCCAATGAGGAACTCTCCAGGAGTAAGTGCGAGACCACCTTCGGGATCATCGTGAAGAGCCACCAGTGGGCGGGAATTAAAACACGCTTCTATCCGAGTTAGTAGAGTGCTTAGTTCGATAAATCTCAATGTTTGACGACCAATCGTCCGGTACAGGTGTATCTTCGCAGATCTCACAGCGGCCTCCCAGAGTCCACCATGATGCGGAGCTGCAGGAGCGATGAATCTCCACTTCGTACCTACAGCGGCTACATGTTGTTTCGCTTGCGTGTTCGACCATTCCGCCAAGTCAAGCTGCAGCTGTTTATTGGCTCCAACAAATTGCGTACCATTATCGCTGTAAAGTATGGCGCAAATACCTCGTCGGCTTGTAAAGCGGTCGTATACGTCAATAAATGCCCTGGTTGTCAAATTCTCAGCCAGCTCTATATGCACGGCCTTGGAGGCCATGCAGACAAAAATCGCACCATAAGTCTTGGTCAAAACGTTCGACCTCTTACCACCCAATCGCACATTAATTGGGCCGCAGTAATCGAGGCCTGTGTGAGTGAACGGTGGTGCAACCAATACCCTTGATCTCGAGAGCGATGCCATCTGTTGTTGTTGGGTGATTCGCTGATGACGGCGGCATACAACACATCGATGGACAAACGTCTTGGCCAATGCGCGCATGTGTACGATCCAGAAACGTTGGCGCAAATACTGCATCATCCCTTGAATGCCACCATGAATACACTTCTCATGGGCATCGGCGATAAGCAGCCATGATAGTGCTCCATCCTTCGCTAGAATAATCGGGTGCCGTTGATTAAATGACAACTCTGCTCTCTGTAAGTGACCACCGACTCGAAGTATCTGTTTTTCGTCCAAGAAGGGATTCAGGGACACTAGCTTACTTGTGGAACTTATGCTGGAATGAGATCTGAGCGAATTAATATCTGATAGGTACACATTACCTTGTGACTGTCGAATGTGAAGCTCAAGGGCCCATGCCCTCTCCTCTGTGGTCAGCGGATCACCTCGGTGACCTCGGAATGCAGGTAAGATTCGTCGTAGACGTGCCGTAGTGTCAAGCAGTCTATTCAGACGGCTAAACTTCTCCACCAAAGGAATTCGCCTGCCACCGAATGCCGTGTGCAATAACCCACATGTCGCAGCGGTCACCAAGCTGCGAGGGGGGGCGGCTCTCCAACGTTGCTGTCTGTTGTTCTTCGTCAGTCAAAGCAGGCAACTCGGTGATACGATTGAAGCAAGTGTTGGTGGACCAGTCCACCAGAGTAGATGATCTTCAAGCGCTGTTGGTGGAATGCCACGACTGGCGCATTTTGCTGGGTTGTGTTCACTTCGGATGTGTCGCCAATACTTCACTTCAGAATGAGTTTGTATGAATGCCACACGTTTGGCTACATACGGCTTCAATACGGTCGGTGCTTTCTGGATCCAGTGGAGGACAATGGTCGAATCACTCCAATACATACAATCTGCGCTGTCCAGTCGCAAGGCGTGACGAATCTCTTCCATCGTCATAACGAGTAGTTGTGCTGCACTGAGTTCCATTCGTGGAATTGTAGTACCCTTACTGGGTCCTACCCTTGTTTTGGCCGCAACCAGGGATACGCGAACCGCACCCTCTGGATCTTCGATGCGCACATAGACGACCGCAGCGTAAGCTTTGCTGCTGGCGTCACAGAAGCCGTGCAAGTTTACCGTGGACGTCTTGGTCATGCCCAGCCAACGCAAGACCTGAATACTGGAAAGCTGGTACAAACCATTCCGAAATGTTAACCATTAATCTCGTAAATAGCCTGGTAATGCTGTATCCCATGGCAGCTCTGCCTTCCAAAGCATCTGAATAAAAATCTTGGCCCATACGATCACCGGCGACAATAATCCCGATGTGTCGTATAATCGTGCGACATCGCTAAGTACGTTGCGTTTAGTAGGAATTGCATCGAGGTCCGGCAACCGTACTTTGTAAAATAAAGTGTCATTATTAGGGTTCCAGTGCAAGCCCAGTACAGTGGTATCAGAATTACTCGGAAACGACTCGGTGGTGGCAACTGATGCATCCACAAGAGCCGTCAAGGTCAGCGCGCAATTGGAGTTCCACTTACTCAAAACGAAATGGCCTTGGCGCAGGATCTTGCCGACATTACGAGCACGCTCGATTGCCTCTGTAGTAGTATCTACACTATCCAAGTAATCATCGACGTAAAAGTTTGAGAGGATGCTCTCCTTGGCCTCAGCTGCCCGGTTAACATTGTGGATAACTGAAAAGTTATCACTGGCGCACTGTTGCAATGTGCGAATAGCGTTGTACGGTCCACAAGCCATACCGCCAGAGAATCTGCTGCCATTTGCGATGCCTTTTATCCACCTCGACCCGACGGAACATCTTCTCCACGTCCGCCTTAATGGCAACTTGAATCCGTCGAAATCTGTGGAGGATGTGGACGAGATTGTCCTCCAATTGGGGACCAACCAGTTGCGTGTCGTTCAATGATATGCCATTGCTCGATTTTGCCGAGGCATTAAACACCGCGCGGAATTTCGCGCGAATGAAAGAATTGACGAAGGGCACCACTATGGGAATTTCCAAGTACCGGAGCATTGAATCGGAATAAAATTTGTACGACATATCAACCATCGGGATTCCTCGAAAACGTGTCCATGAATATTTGCTCGCAGTCCTCCACATAGCTGCCTTCAGGTGGTTCTTCCGCATCCCAAAATTTTCGAAGAAGCTCATCAAGATCATGGTCTTTCAATTTGGTACTTAAGGACTGAGGCTTGGATTCGTGCGATTGGGCATTAGTCGGGCCCAACACAATCCACCCGAGTCGAGTACGCAATGCACATGGTTTATCACAGCCTCCTGATACCACTCCATCTTGGAGGATGGTGCTCCAAATATCAGCACCGATAAGCAAATCGATGCACCCCGGTAAACCAAATGTAGGGTCAGCCAGTTGTAGACCACTTAAGTACTCATAGGCGGCTTTGTTTACAGGAATCGCTGGTGTCGATGAAGTGATCGAATTCAAAATGTAAGCGTTGAAACTAATGTCGACCCCTTCACCAATCCTCGAACGCAGGTTAAGGGTGGTAATGGCCTTAGTGTACGTTGAGTTTTGGCCGACGCCTTCAATAGTCATGACACAGCGTCTTCTACGAAGATTCAAACGATGAAACATAGATTCTGATAAAAAGCTCACCTGAGATCCCATATCACACAAAGCTCTGCATTTATGTAGGTTGCCCTGATGATCAGCGAGCAAAACCTGCGCAGTGGCCAACAACACGACGTGATCACCATGAACCAAGAAAGACTGAACTACATTTGACTGTTGTTCACCGCGTGGGAAGACCTGAGGCTGCGATACTGTAGGTTCTGGCTTTGAATTCGTTGAATCCATTTGGTGGGAACCGGTGGCCATGCTAGTACCCGAACCAACAGTCGGACTGCGACAAAGAAGTGTATGATGTTTTTGGCGGCAAACCGTACAAACTCCTGCTGAACAATCACGCGTAACATGGCCGTCACGTAGACAGTTGAAGCAAAGGCAAACGTTTAACGGTCTCCCAACGAGCCGTTACTGCAAGATTCCGCCAGCGATGACATTTGGCAAGAAGATGGTTCTCCGAACAATGTGGACAACTTGAAGTATTCGCACCATTCGCTTGTGCAGACGCTATGTGTGCTCTAGCCCCACGTTGTGCCGTATGCCGTGAAGAGGTGATCACACCATGCGACACAGACGATGCAGCCGGCATATTCATCGCGCGACGCTCGATGAAACTCAATAACTCTTCCAATCGGGGAATATCGTTGTCTTTGAGGCTCATGCCCCAATCATTTCTTGCTGCTACCGGCAGCTTTGGCAGCAATATTGGAATCGCAAGTGCATCCCATTGTGTTACCGGCAACCCCATGACAGATAATGCACGAAAGCTGTTACGTACACAGTCGATGATATCACGGAGCACCTTCTGTGTGTCCCGTGCCAGTTGGCAAAGCTAGTATACGTTGCACATGGGTTTGTGACAGCAGATAGGGGTTGTCATAGCGACGCTTCAGTTCCGCCCAAACCTCTTCATATCCTCCAGTATGCAACCCAGTGACCATTGGGACACTTTCAGGCTTGACGTACTGCCGCAATTTACTAAGCTTGTATGTTAGCTCGAGATCTGTCCGTTGGTGGACCATTGTCTCGAACATGTCTTTAAACACAAGCCAGTTCTCCACCTGACCATCGAAGGGTGGTATGGAAACAGGATCTAGCCGCAAATCCGCTGCTTGGGTCAGCACGAAGTCATGCTCAACAGGAGTGCATTGCAATAGCAAGCGACGTAATTTAATGCAAACCTTGTTGAATTGCTCTTCCGTGCTAGCGTACAGTGTCCGACTAAGTCCAAATGATGTTCAACGAAACGATCCCAGTACTGTGCTCTATTACGACCTGGTCTGGACTGTAGTCCTCTGTATGAACCATATTAAAAATCCGCGTAATCGATGACTTCGCGGAAGTACGTAAATTCAAAGACGTCATCCCGCAATATATATTGTACAGTTTTCCCAAGAAAATGATATCTGCCTAATCACGCCACAAAGCAAACGTTGATTAGCGGCTTATCGAACAGTTAATTCTAAACGGCTCACGAGTTGTTGTTGTGCCACCTCGAAGCGACTACAAATCACCGCTATTGCCGCACTTCTGGCAAAGTCTCAGTACTCCGTTATACGAACTAAATATGTGGAGCCCTTGCCGGTAACTCCAGCTGCACTGCCAATCCAAGCGAGACTTCCTCGATCGCTTGTTCGCGAATGCACCTCAAAATTGTTCCTCACAGGAGGCACCAAAAATGTATCAGAAACTCCTTGATACATTCAGACGTCCACTCGTTGGCCGCTCCAAAAAATCCAACCGCTATCAAATCAACAATGATAATTTATTGCACAGAGGACTCGTCTGTCCGAGTCGATCTTTATTTGTATAATAATAATAAGCAAATTACAATTTTAATCTTATGCCTGCCAATGTGCAGCGCTACGAAACAGAGAAACGACAGAACCACAAAAAACTAAAGAAACAAGTGATGCCACTGAATACGAAAAATATATACATGTAATTAAATCAGTGATGGGACATTATGGCTTATACACATGTAATTAAATCAGTGATGGGACATGATGTCTTATACAAAGGCTGTTGCAGAAAACTGCAGCAGCATCTCTGTGGGATTGATTAGCTAACTTGCAAATGGAGGCTGCGTGTAGCAGAAACAAAATCATTGTGAGGAAATGCTGTTAATATAATAATAGAGAAACATTTCGGGAACGGCATTGTCGTGCCCTATGTACACAAAATGCAGCGATTCGTCCGCGCGACACTTGCACCTACGCTTCTTGCATCTTGGGGGCTGTCGCAATTTAACACACAGCACTTCATTGTATTAGTTTTTACGCTGTCTTCAACTCAAAAATCACTCACAAATTGCAAATTAACACAATTTAAACTGATTTTTCACTTATAATTCAAATTTCTCTTTCGCTGATTTGTAAACAAAGGTTTATTTACAAGTTACCACAACTGTCAAAATTAGGGTTGCCAGACGTACTGCTTTTGGGAGTAAACGTACTCCTTTTTATTGCAATGTACTCCCATGTACTCCCAAAAAAATATCTGGAAATGTACTCCTTTATAATAATAATATATAATAACTGTTGCACAGTTTTGTTTGAAAAATAAAATTGGCCTTTATAGATTTTGCGAAAAAAGTAGTTTATTGTTAATTATCCACAGATTTTACTTCAATTTTATTAATTTGTTTTTAAATTTTCACCTTCATTTGGGTTTACCGGCGATAAACACTTTGAGAGAGAAGCGCAAGTAAAAAAAGTCGTTATTGTATAGTTTTTAGATTTAACCCTCATTTGGGTTTACCAGGGGGTTTGGGAGAAAAGCGGCACGCAAGTCTTCGTCGGTTACTTTATTACATATCTTCTGTAAATATAGGCTAATTTCCTCCCACTTTTCGGCCGCGCTTAGGGATTATAACCCTTACTAAGTAGAAGATGGGCAGGCACCTCTTTTGTTATCAAGGGTATATAAAATGTCCCGTGCAAATCAATATTCAACCTTTTTCAAACGAAAAAGCGCAAGTGAAAATTGTGACTTTTGGTCATTTTTCTAAGGGGTCCCTAGTAGGGCTGCCAGACGTCCCGGTTTTCCCGGACATGTCCCGGTTTTAGACTATTTGTCCCGGAGTCTCGGTCCAACCTTAAAATGTCCCGGGTTTCGTTTAAGTGTCGCGGTTTTCGATTTGATTGCACAAATTTTGAATAAAAATTACTACACTGAGAGAAACAACGCATTGTAATATTAAGAAAAATTTTATGAATTTACTGGGGGAAATAACGCATAGTAAACATGAATATTTTTTATTTGAATATCGTTTTAAAATGTTCGTATTTAAAAACAATACTTTCATACCACGAACACGTGGTGTTGAATCAAACTGAGCATTTGAATGCACATTTACATGTCTGGCTGTAGCTGAGTGCACGAAGATGCTTGCCACAACTTGCTAATTTCCAGAGCGTCAGGGTTCAAATACCAGTACAGGCAGCATGGAATTCAAATATTTTTTTTTTTTAACTTAATTATGAAAAAGCATCCTTTAAGTGCAAAGCGCTTCATTTTAATATTGGCGTATTTGAATTGAATATTTCTATACTAAATACTAAAATTTGTATACTTAAATTTATTACGAGTTGGGTTGGTGCCCTTTCATATGCGATTTTTTTTTTTTTAATTTAGCACGTTTTGCACAAGCAATAGTTGATGATTAATATAATATGTACCTAAATACATTAAAATGACATGCACAGAGTTTTACAATTATATTAAGCAAAAGCCAGAAGTTTTGAAACAAGTTCACAGCAACGAAACAAATTACTGATATTTTAATGTTACCTTGTATTTAATTTTGTTTCTTTCGTGAAACCTAAATCACTTATAAGTACCGCGCCGTTCAAAATTATTGGCTCGGAGACTCTTTCATCAGATCACAATTTCTAATCAGATCTTTTAGAAAAATTTTGAAAATGTAGCTGTTGAGCCAATTAGTAAAGTGCAAGTCTGAAGTTACCAGAAAATTTCGTTGATTTTTTGCAATTATTTATTTTTTGCTAACAGTGTCTTCCACATACCAAAAAATGTCGAACATAAGTAGTTTGTATGGAAGAAACTCTCAGTAAAGACAATACCAAAAATCAACTAAATTTTTATGGGCTGCAAAACTTCATTTTCAACATTTTTATAAAAAAGTCTGAATAGAAAGTTGCGAATTTGTATGCAAATTTATTGCATTTTCCCGAGTTTTGCACAAAGTTTAGAAATCTTTGTTTATGTTTTGTGATGTATTTAGTATAAACTGTATTTTTATAAGGAACAAAAAAGGTACATGCATTGTGAAAAATTCTCTGTGCTTTAGCTGTGATAAATTGTTTTGTTTTGCTGGTGTACGTTGTAATGATCTCATGATCTCATTTTTTTATGTTTTTTTTTTGTTTGTCAAAATAAAATTTTACTACATACTTTCGTACGTAATTTTTGTCGAAACGAAAGGGAAGGGAGCGAGAGGCCTTTCCCACCCTTAAGTGTCCCGTTTTGGCAACAGATATCTCTGCCCCAGTCCCTAGGGAGCGATAGGGGCCCTAGGTGGTCGGGAGTAACATTTTTGTCAATGGCGGTTCATGCCTACGGCTGCCAGACGTCCCGGTTTTCCCGGACATGTCCCGGTTTTAGACTATTGTCCCGGTGTCCCGGTCCAACCTTAAAATGTCCCGGGTTTCGTTTTAGTGCCCCGGTTTTTGATTTGATTGCACAAACTTGAATAAAAGTTCAAAAATCACTACACTAAGAAAAAAAATTGTAATATTCAGAAAAATGTTATGAATTCACTGAGGGAAATAACGCATGGTAAACATGAATACTTTCTATTTGATTATCGTTTAAAAATGTTCGTATTTAAAAATAATACTTTCATAACACGCACGCGTGGTGTTGATTCAAACTCAGCATTTAAATGGACATTTACATGTCTAGCTGTAGCTGAGTGCGCGAAGATGCTTGCCACAATTTGCTAATTTCCAGAGGGTCAAGGTTCAATTCCCATTACAACCAGCATGGAATTTAAATATTTTTTAACTTAATTATGAAAAAGCAATCGGTAATTGCAAATCGCTTCATTTTAATATGGGCGTATTTGAATTGAATATTTCTATACATACTAAAATTTGTATACTTAAATGTATTACGAGTTGGGTTGGTGCTCTTTCATATGCGTATTTTTTTAATGTAGCACGCTTTTTTAATTCTAAACTTCTTTTTCTCAGTGCCCCGGTTTAATTTGTGAAATAGTTACATTTAGA